TTTACTTACTATGTCGTGTGTGTGTGTGTGTGTGTGTGTGTGTGTGTGTGTGTGTGTGTGTGTGTGTGTGTACAATTTTTCCAGTTTGCCTCATTATATACACATCAGTCTAAATTCTTCATGTATGGCCTAAGAAGATACAGAGGTGGCACAACATAAAAACACATGTAGTCCTTAAGTGCTGTTATATACCTGAATACACTGTTTTAATTTGTACCGAGTCACACAATGACGTCCAACCTCAATCTAAACTACTTCCTCATCATAACTAAATAATAAAATGTAAAATAATGTAAGTTATACTAGGGTCTTGGTAACTAAAGTGGTCAATGCTCTAAACTGATAGACATGTAGACAACTAACCCTTTTTATTAGGAGCATGCAAGGACATGCAGCAGAGCTTATAGCCCAGAGGGAGGGGAGCTAAAGCTGCTTTAAGCCATCTTTGCACCTTCCCAATCTGAGCTGCTCCTGGGGCTGGAGAAACCCCCAGCATAACTCAGACAACCCAAGGGGCTTGTCTAAGTTACGGCAGCCTGCTGGGGCAGTTCTATGGGCTGCAGTACTGCCCCAAATCTCTGCAGGCCTGCAGCACATCCCTGATGTGCCCACCTGTCTCTAGTCCCAACCCCCACACCAGGGCTTGCAAGGGGATCCTCAGAAGACAGCCCTAATAGCTGTCTTCTGCAGTATGTGTACCAAGGGAGTTCTCCTACAGGCAGCCTGAGGCTATTCGGGCCCCCTTACACCACTCCAACCCTATTCCCAGGTGTAAAGGGGCAGAGTGAGGGTGAGAATCTTACTTCAAGTGTTTTATATTGTTTAAGGCCCAATTCAGGGAAAGCATACCTCGACCTTAAATCTTTTTTAAAGTAAAAACAAAAAACAAACAAAAATCACAACCCCAAAGTGGGGACCCACCTGCCCAGCCAATTCCAATCGCTTGTTTCCATAATAGTCTCTGTCATCTACTTTGTTTTCTCCTTGGGCCAGAATAACCCTGCGGACCATCACTGCTGTGTAGATGCACTTGGCACGGAAATGAAATTCTTTTACCTGTAATCGAAAAGGTTAGAGAAAAATGTTGATATCATGCTACTAATTGTGCTGTTCTGACTCAAAGATCCCCACTTAAACCAATGGGGAGTTGAGCCTGAGTGAGGACTATAGAATGGGGCTTGTTTTACATTATGAAAGCCACCAAGAGAAACTTTAAATGTATTAGGAACATTGAAAGAGAATTTAAAATGAAATAGATTGGAATAAGTATGCATGTCAAATATGTTATTATGGCAATCCTTTGAATTGATATCTGATATTGTCTAGCTATGAAGAAAAAAGTTTGCAGGAAATGGAATAATTCACTACTGTGGCATTTTGTAAACATAAGCAACTATTACTAATGAATTAAAACAAATGTTTTCCTTCTATTTGAGGCTTATTCACTTATTTCAACTACACTGGAAATTAAGAGACATTGCCCCACACACACACACACACACACACACACACACACACACACACACACACTACGTTCCATAAAGCAAGTTTCTGTCCCATATCCCACCAGTAAACTCAATCCGGAGTTAAGAATAATTATTTTCCGCTCTGTTTCAGATCTATTTCCCAAACAGAGATTTTTCAATTGCAACAAGGAATAGCCTTCAAGACTTCCCATTTCGATCTAGATTCAGCTTGAAAGTTACAGTGTTGGAGGCAAGACCAAATCTACATTGACACCCTTAGAATTAGCGGAGAGACTTTATCTTCCAAAAATCACTTATTCCCCAGCCCCACGATTTGGATAAAATCTCCTTTGAAGTTCCTGCACAACAACTTTCTCTCCTGTGTGGAAGGCTGGATGGAGCTCCATTCACAATTTGAGAATGTTGCTCCTTGATCCCCCACTTGTAAGGCTTGAGGTTTTCCAGACTATATCTCTCAATCCAACAGCCACAGAATCCTCGTTTTGTTTTAATCAGAAGTGAAGCCATATGCAATCAATATATTGCCTGGTCATCACTTTAAAAATACCCATAACTGGGAAAATAGATCTTAAAATCTTCATTGGAGAGAGGAGGACTTTTCTGTTCTGTATATTTATCAGATTTTAGCTATTATACTAGCAGACATCAATAGATTCCCAGAAGAAATGTATGTTTGAATGTTCCTGCGCCATTTTTTTAAAAGATGACTAGCAATAAAATATTGTGTTTAGCTGCCCCCATTCCGCATAACTGTTCTAATACAGGAAGGGCTTCTATGTTTCTTGGTCACTTGTTTTTCCTCTACAATGGAGATCTTTCTTGCAAATACCACTTCACTTGCATTGTTACATACAAAAATTGTTACATTCGAATATTCACATTCAAATAGACAAATTCTAATTTAGCAACTACTGATCCACAATATAGTTCACCTCATCACACTATTTTAATAAAGTTTAGGCTCTGGCACACAGCATGCTTGGAAAAAAAATCTCTGCAAAATCAAGACATATTTGCTGGAGGACTGTTTATCTCCTCCACTATACTTACTCAACCTTTTCTCAAGTGAGAGGAAAGAGAAAGCTACAGAGACACAGTTTTATCTTTTACTTAATGGAAAAGGATACGATTTCTTTAAACACCTATTTCACTAGTGAGCTTCCTCCCCTTTAGAAATAAATTGTGAAATTTATCTTAAAAGTGAATTTTTGTACTCATATAATGCCAGACTGGTGACACTTTCTCCCACAGAGAAGCTACAGTACACACAGATAGCCCAAACCTCTCCTCTTGTACTTTAATACTTGCTAGGAAGATTACCTCTAGGGGCAAGAGGCCAGCGTGCTCTACATTATTGACTTCGCTCACGATTGCAACGAATGCTAATTATGGTGGTGGAAAGTCTTCCCCTATAAGGTTGGCTGCTATGAGGAGACTATACATCCACTTTTCTGTTGAGAAGCCTGGAATGTGGGAACATGGTGACTAAGGTCTCAAAACGCAGACCTCTTTCCTTCTGTTTATCTCAGTAATTCTATCACACTCATGAAAGTGGCACTTGCACTGGCATCTGGGGCTGCAGCTTAAGGCAGCAAGACCTCCAGATGGAAAACCCAGTGCTAGGGAGTCCATATAAAAAGTAATAAAACAACACACAAACCAACCAGTTCAACATTAGGTTTTTCTAGCAGTTCTGTTCAGACAGACATCTAAAGATTTATTCTGGGTTTGTTAGTGTAACCTACACACCTCCTAGGTGTGGTGTTCTGTCCCATCTAGTGGCACTGAGACCACTTAGAGAGACAGGCATATGGCTTTTAGCTCATGCACTACGCTCCAGAGGTCCCAGGTTCAATCCCGCCCACCGACGACTGGGGTCGGTTGGTGTTACAAGTGAGGGCTCAGGATTTCAACTGGGAATGTGCTTCCTCAGTTAGGGGAAGTATGTAACCCACACACCTCCTGGGTGTAGTGTTCTGTCCCATCTAGTGGCACCGAGAAAGAGATTAATGAGTTTGCTCTACAGCCTTAGCTATCGGTGTTACATTAGCTTGCATTTTTCCACTTTTGTTTTTGCAATACCTTCATTATGTCTTATATGAAACAGGAAAGTCAAAAACTAATATTTTCTAGTCTATACCATTGAAAGATTTCCAGAGACATTGCAGAGGGCATTATCACAAATACATATAAGTACTCCTCCTTTGAATCCCTTCTCAATACCCACTTCTGCCATGACACCTACAAGGTATCAGCCAATATTTAACGGGCAGCTAGAAAAAGTAGATATTTATATAATTACAAAAACTAATTTTAAAACAGAACATTGTGTATAAAAATTGGCATTTGATAGGCTCGCTCTCCCTACTCTTCATATGTTGCTCATCTTCTTAGATTGCAAACTCTTTGAAACAGGAATTGTGTCAATCTTTGTTTGCCCAGCTGCTATCACAGAGTCCTAATCCTAACTGGGGCCTTGGGGTGCTTCTCTAACATAATTATACATATTTTTTAAAAATTTTTGAAAATTGCATCCTTGGTGAGCATTCCTCCCAATGTTCAGACACAATTTCCAGTCTTCACTTTTCATCATTCCACCTGTGTATTGGTTTGCAAACAGTACTGGAAAGCAAACAGTAAAATAAATAAATACATTTTAAAAAACCATTGTTTAAATAGATTGAGATTAATCTGTTATACAAGCAGGATCTGTTGCAGTTCAGGTTAGAGTCATACATAGCAGTTTCTCCCCTAGAGTGTCTGCAAGCTTCAGAGGGGATGTCATTAGATGAGTATGTGGTAAAAGGAAGAGCTCTACTTAGTGGGCTCTGAAAGTCTCTTAGGTCTCCTGGGCACTTCACTGTTCTTTTTAAGGTTTTACTGGTCTACTACTATGAAATTCTTTCAGAAGTCAGCCAAGTTCTAAAACAATTTCAGCAGGCTCTCTTCTGAATGGGAAAGTGCAACAGGTTACTTAAAAATTTTAGCCATTGCATTAGAAGTCTTACTCTCTTATAGGATTCATACTAGTGGAAAACTTGTTTCACCCCCCAAAATAACATTTTTTTCAAGTTAAGGGAGACACTACATACAGGAACATGTGTCAGGATGGTTGATGCTAGCAGCTCTCGTGCTTCCTCCATCTTCGTTTTCTTTGGGCCTCCCCACATCCTCTGCCTTCGTACCTTGTTTCCTATGTACTTTAATGCCTGTCAAGCGAGTACCACAGGTGTGTTTAGTACTAAGAATGTCATCTATACATGTACACAGATTTTTCACAATCACTGCAGTTTAGTTATTTGTCAGTGGCATAGCTACATAGTGAAGTCACTGAAGTGAAAAACACCACGTACTTTTAAATAAAATACCTTTCATTCATGAGCATCACAGAAAGCTTCATAGGCGATCAACTTAATATACATAACTGACAAATAACATACTGTACATTTCAATATTATACATAGGTAACAATAACATCTGTGGATTAATAGGGAATGGTGAAAGGGTGTAAGTGCCACAATATAGGGAGAACAACAAGGGGTCCAGTAGCACCTTAAAGACGAACAGATTTAAATATACAGAGAGAATAAACCATCATGGGGACATGAGGAGCATGGCTCCACATGCCAAAGACATTCATTCCCTCCAGTTCACTTTTCATCCCCAACTCCTTCTGTCTAGTCTGTCAGTTTCATCCAGGTTAACATAAGAATTGCATGTATCCAGAGAAAATTACAAGAAAGATTTATTTCCTTTCCTGTAGTAACCACATCTATTTAGGTATACACGGCTTTTATTACCATAGTGGAAAAGCGCCTGCTAATCCATTCATGGATTTTATCCTCACACCACCCCCGTAAGAAGGGCGCTATCACCCCCATTTTTACAGATTGAGTGATTTACTCAAAATCACACAAGGAGTCACGGCAAAGCCAGGAAATGAACCCAGGTCTCAAGTCCCAGACCAGTACCCTATCCATTAGGCCATCCTTCCTATGCTGTCCAGCCACCTTCTTCCCCAGATTTCATGGCCTCTCTACTCAATGTATCTTCATTCCATTTGGTATTTCTTGCATGGAATGTTTTCTTTATAGGGTTTTGTTTTTGCTCAGCCAAGTTCTAGAACAATTTCAGGACATGTTTCCATGTCTCCATGTTCCCCCTGCAGTCTCCCCTGGTACTATTTCACACCCTTACTTAAAAGGGTTTCTATGCCGGTCCTAACTGTGACAAATCCAAAAGGATGAAAAATAGAAAACAAGAGATCCAGTTTAATAAACTCAAGATTAATTATGGAAAGATTTGATCATTTTTAGAATGCAATACCACAGATAAACTACGTTTTTGCAGCTTGGTTTTAACAGATCAATAAGTACACGATAAAACAGATACAGCAGTATGGCCTCTATTCCAGCTAATTAAGCTGTTCAGACCAAAGAGAATTATGGCCCATCCTTAACTGGTGGCTCTTATTACCGGCTTTATGCAAAGGATTAGAATTTCAGTAGAGTTCATGCACAATGAAAGCACTCACACACTCATGTGGAAGGTTCCCGTCTGTGGCGTGACCAACTTTAAAAAAATGTGAGGCCTTCAACAAAAATCCAGCTCACTCAGATTATAGACTTCACTATCCGCCACATACACTAAACATGGGCTACTTCATTTCTGAGCACAAATAGATGTTTCTTGGCTTCATTTCTTCTCCTCTCCTCAGACAATTAGAGCAGAAATTTTCTTGTGACATGTATGGCCCAAAACCAAAAGTAAACAAAAATGACAAAACAGTTTCATGGCTTTTTGTTAACAACCCATGTACCAATGGCAAAATAAATAGCCATCATCTTTAGATTTCACAGCCCATAGCCATATGAAAAGACACACCTGCATCTGTGTAAAAATCTGAGCTTTTTGGCATTCTTCCAAACTGGGACCAAATGCAGCCATCACGTGCTCTTCTGTACCAATCATCTGCACAATCTCTTGGTCACTCTCAACACCCATGGCCTAGGAAAGGAAGAAAAGACAGAAATAGTGCTGGCTTTATGTTAACTCACTGACATTTGCTTATGCTAATTTGGTATTGTTTGTCAGTATTACTTCTAAGCAAAAGCTACTTCTTCTCTCAGAAACCATGCCATCTGGCATTGGTAGCCCATAGTCAAGCTCTGGAAGAACCTGAAAGGTAATCTTGATAAGCAGCAGGAAAACAAATGCTCTAGAGTGCCTTTCACTTGTGTGTGAGCTGTTCCTTATTTGCAGAAGTATAAATTTAATATAATTCCTTAATAAAAATAAAAACTGGCTACCAGTAGCCTTATAAACTATCAGAGAAAGCCTATTCAAGAGCTACAATAAGGGAGGGTGAAATTATCTAAGAGATCACACATAGGCCCCCTACTCCAAACAGTTCTGCAAACTTAATGTTACAGCATATTCTATTTAAGTAACTTTTGCAATGTAACATCTTTGCAGCTATTTGCATTTAGAAGATGACTTCACTACAGAATCCCACTTGAAAGCCATTCTATCTATTATTTCACTGATCCTTAGACACCTTGTTATACTTTGTACTGTGGAAAAAGCTTAATAAACTAAGAAAGCGCTTAACAGGTTTAGAAAAATCTCTCTATAAATAAGTGTTTCAAGGTGGCAGCCAGCAGTGCAGGCCTTTGTGGATTCCAGATGGTGCTAAAGCTTTTCCCTTCACACATTTGTCTGGAATTCTGCCATATCAAGAAACAGGGAATAATCTCACTAAACCTCTTTTGGCGGAGTAATAATATGCTTCTCAGAAGTTGGGAGCAAAGTTACATTTCGCATTCATATTCTTCCTTAAGCTGTGCACAACAAAGACCATTGTACATATTAGCCTAGGAGGTATACCCTATACATCGATTCTCAATAAATATTGAGAATGTACCAAAGAGTCACATTTTCTTTAAAATACATGAGTACCTTCCTTCAAATGGTCTTTGCTGGGTGTTATTTTGTTTTTAACATCCAACTAATGCCTTGCCTTCTGCAATACATTTGTCGGCCCCTTTGTCAGGTGTTTGACACTGTTTTTAAAAGGTACAAATGTTGGAAATGCTTAAAGTAAAAAAAAAAAAAAAATCCACCCATGTATCTTGATGAGGTCTCAAAGCAACACCTCTGTAATGCTGTAAGTATGCTCCAGTTTCAGTATATGTTGTAGGTTTGGTGTAGAGCACACATCACACTTCTGCAGTCCCACCAGGATATTATTATAACAATCTACAAGTAAATCTACCCAGTCCTCTATCGATTCCCAATTAAGATCTTCATCCAAGTCTTTAATAATTAAATATAAAGAATAGGTAAAATAATCATACATTTGTACATCATGGATAAAGGCTTCTACATAAAGATGGAAGAACAGGTTCTTGATGAATATTTATGCATTTCGCAATTTAAGTTGTTGCTGGCTGCTTAATTGAGAAAGATTTAAAACGTGATTAGAATTGTTCAAACACTTGTAAAGCAAGGCAGACAGAATGTCTTAATGAAAAAAGTGAACTGTGAATTTCCTGCTAACTGGGCTAACAAAACTGAGGGTGACTGCTGCTGGAATAGTTTCATTAAATCAGTATCAAAATGTCATGACTTGTTACTTCATACTATACATGGTGTTGCACAGCATAATGGATTTAGCTATGCATATAAGCCAATATGAATGCAATACTAATAGAACATGCAAATGAAACATTTGTTTATATTTTTATTTGGTGTGTTTAGCAGTTTGATTATTCATGTCTACCTTAATGCTCTTTTTTTCAGTATTTTGCACCCTAATGCTGCATCTGCCCATGCACAATGAACTGCAGAATCAGGGTGGTTAGCTTGTAACACAGCTGGGATCCGGAAGCCCCAAGACATCTCATTATTATTATTCATATTATAACAACACTCAGAACATGCTGGGTATTGTACAGACCTATTGGAATGGTGTCCATGGTTTAAAAAGAAAGGCTAGGGGAAAGAAATATAAAAGCAAAGTGGTCATGGAATAGATTTGCATAGGTCTTCTTAGTTCTTTTTGGGGGAAGTGCCACAGGGGGTTATATTACGGGACAGAGGTGGGGGAAAAGGGAAATCTCAGGAAGGGATAGTTTAATATGGGCAGAGAAGTAAGGAGGAGGAAGGAAAGGAAAGCTGGATTGAAGCGCACACACACACATGAATGTCCAGAGTTCATATTGTAGAATGCAGTCTGCCAGCCCCACTGGTGTCCAGGGACTGTGGAAGTTGCTGCTGCTTAGAGAAGCGTGTGTGTAAGAGTGCACCTCTGCTTCTGGAGGCTAGTCCCAGCCTTGGGAAGTCCAGCTCTTCCTCCCCCCGCCCACATCTTAATGATGATGTCTAGCGGTTGCCATGGCAGTTCCCTAGAATGCAGTTCTGTAATCTTTTAGGTTAAATTAGAGAATGGAGACTGGCAGGTGACTGGATTAAAAGATGTCAGAGAAAGTTAGAGGTTGACCCCATCACAGGTAGAATAAGTTTGTGGCTTTCACAGTTCAAAGATGAGTGCTATGAAGTTAGAGATGTGGGAATCCATAAATCCAGCAGACCCACAGTGAGGGAGATATTAATCTGCTTCTTTAAGATTTCATATTACAAGCTTCAAATTATTACAAAGTTAACACCACTTCTTAATGAGACAACGGGAAACCCTGTTCAATTCTTTCTTTGCAGATCCCAGAGTGTGCTATTCATAGGCTTCAATACATGCAGCAATTAGAAAGGTTTCAGCGTAAAGATGTTTTACTAAATTATCTTTGGTCCTAAAATCTGACTTTAAAGTTCCTTTACACCAATAGTTTTGGGACAGTGTATGATCTTCCATTATTTCAACTTCCAAGTCACTCACCCAGATCTATATCTGACCACAGAGTAAGAAAGCAATAGTCTCTAGGGGGAAAAACAAAAATACATACAAAATCGACTTGCCACTGATGTGTAACCAGCACACAAGTGAAATTTATTAAGCTAAAACAAGTGTTTTTTTGTTTGAAAACTGAACTAAGGAAATTTCTTAGAAGGCTGTTTTTAGTTATTACACACATATGTATAAATATTGCTTTCAGATCTTTTAGATGGAGCTGTTAGTGATGTCTATAGTTAAGGTTGCCCAACACTTTCCATTATAAAGCACTCTTCAGTTACTTAGAACTGACAAATATTTACTGTTTGGACTAAATTTTTCCATGCCAGGTGTTGGCCTCAGGGTGAAAAGAGATGTATTATCTTCATGAAAGTTTCAGCAAACATGCTGCAGCCATTGCCAAGAATGAAGTTAGTAAAAAGTACCTATTTTTCCCTCTGTTTATATTAAAAAAAAAATAAAAAAAAGAAAGAAGGTCTGGCAATCGTTTATTGTAAGTGATCTATTGCGTCCATCTCATGGAGCAAAGACTTGACATTTGGTGATGATGCAAGAGGGGGAAAGGAGGAGGAAAATAGTCTCTTACCGTCACTGTCAAAATCCAGCCAGCTAAGCTTTGGTCAAATTATAAACCCTAGGAAAATTAACATTCCCACATGTTCAGTACAGCTTGCTGCTAAAATGTCCAAATTGCACCAACTCCTATGAAACTCCACGAATGGCTCCATATGGTATGCAGGCAATGCAGCCAAAAAAACCTTTTGGCCTGAAAGTCTGGAAGATACCATGAGTTCTAGCCTCAGCAGGAATATGTCATGTTAGTTCCATGTCTCTTATTTTAAATAAAAGATTTGTTTGCATAAGTATTAAACCTCAAACTGTTGTGGGGCATTAGCACAGTGGTCTTCTAGGTGGGGAAACTGAGGCAAAATAGTTCAATGACTTGCCCAAAGGATGCAGTGTGTCAGTGGCAGAGCATAAAATCCAGGACTCCTGACTAAAAGTACAACATTCTAACCTCTAAATCAGGGGGTCTCAAACACACAGCCCTTTGCTGCGGCCCGCCAAGAAGAGGCGGGGCAGGGGCAGGGATTTGGGGAAGGGGTTGGAATGGGGCAGGGAGGGGGCAGAGTTGGGGTGGGGACTTTAGGGAAGGGGTTGGAATGGGGACGGGGAAGGGGTGGGAAGAGGCGGGGCAGGGGCGGGGCCTCATGGAAGGGATGGAGTGGGGGCGGGGCTTTTGTATATTTATATGAAAAGGTGTCAGTGATGCAGCCCTCGGGCCAACGTACGAGTCCTCATGTGGCCCTCGTGGTGATTTGAGTTTGAGATCCCTGCTCTAAATACCACTCTCTATTTTGATAGTGTAAATAAACACACATTACATAGCATCCTCAACAACAAAATACACCCATGCATACTCTACCACTTTCATGGCACACTTAGAAGATCCTTTTCAGCAAGGAGCTAAGTAATAGCAAGACTGTTGGGCATATTTTCATGATGTTAAATCAAATAATCCAACTATGGAAACAAAAAACAGACACATGATTCCATATGCTATATATTTTTCTCTAGTCCCTCAAGAGTTTTTCTAAGATTATAACCATTGATAAAGTGGCATCTCGAAAATGAGGAAATCTTTGCAGGCCGAAAACTATTGATGTTACTCTCCTCCAAAAGAACTAAATGTTTTATATATTTGGTAGATGAACTTAACTGATTAGAAAGTTTTGATACAATCAGAGGTTGCTAGCTCAAGTGACTAAATCAACGGACATCCTGGTTAGCCAGGAGCAGCAAGTATTGCAAAGGAAAACAGTTTGCTCTGAAACACAAAAGCTAAGTATTTTATTTTCTTACCTCCTATCCATATACTTAAAACATTTATAAACTAGAATATGGTTTATATAGTGCCATTCATACCCCGGATCTCCCAAATCATTTTACAAAGTAACAAATAAAATACTGGTAGGAAAACAGCACAGCCATTATACACTCAACAATAGCTCTCTCACATCATGGGACAAAATAAATTGTTTTCAACAAGAGAAGGGGAAAGAGCTGATGCCCTGGCCAAGATTCCTTCTTAATAAAGAGT